TCCCTCATAAGTCATAAACAATTCTTTTGTTCTCACCATAACCTAGAACGATGATTACTGAAAAGGAAATAAAGTCACTAGAGAATTTAAAAACAAGAACAGGGATGCCCCTATCCGAGAACAAGAGAAAGAAACCCAGGCTTCTAAAAAACCATTTCCATTGGAACAGAGCTTGTCTAATCACCTTTTATCTTCTTGTTTCCTCTTTGAACTCTGGACCTCTCACCCGCATTATCCGCATTATTCATTCTCACCTACCTGGGTGTTTGGCTACTCTCCTGTATCTCTTCACCTTCCAGGGTTCTTTGCTTTGCTCTACAGTGGTGATCAGGTCTGGCTTAGAAACTGCAAGACCTGTTTTATCAGAAAAAGGTAACATGACTCTTGTTGGGATTCTCCAATTACCAATCAGGAATTGTGCTCAGCAGAGAAAAGAACATTTTAGAAGATTCTAGAAAAATAATTCCAAAACACTGTTTTCTTACAGAAACTTTAGACTATTTAGGAAGTATTTAACATTTGTAGCTCTTTTGCTCCACTAACCAGTACTACTGAATCAATACTTGATGGTGGAAATTGAGTTGAAAGCTATGGAGAACAATATTTTATGCCATTAAATTTCTGAAATTATCATTAATCTAGAGTGAAGGATACAGATCTGCTCAAGAAAGCGTAAAATTAATATCAAGATAAAACATCATGAATATTTACTTTTCTGTATACATAAATCTTTACATTTTCCTTGGAAACAAGGATCGGAAACTTTTGCATTCAAAGCAGAAACTTCATGAAAGCATTCTATAAAGAATAGACAGGAAATCCTTAGTGTGGAACAGAAACTGTGTATTAAAATTATCCTTACCCAGTGAGACCATGTTTCTGTAGTTCTCTAACATCACATCCCTATACAAATTCCGCTGAGCGGGGTCCAGGCATGTCCACTCCTCCAGAGAGAACTCTATGGACACATCCCTGAATGTCAACAGAACCTGAAAAAAAACACATATTTACCAAAGCAGCCATGAGGAGAGTTCATTTCACTTCTGGTGAAACTAGAGAGTGAAGACAACTGTTTCTGCCTTATATGAGTGACTGGAATTATCTAATAAGATAATTTTAACAGAGATATATTCCCTAATGTATTCTCTAACATTAAGGAAAGAGGATGGCATAACATCCACAAAACCAGTGTAGACACTATACTCTTTTGGATGACACAGTATAAAAATAAGACCAGCAATACAAGCAGGTACATTTCTGAGTGCTTTATTTACATCACACAGGATGAGTTGCATATACTTCT